ATCAGGAAAAAAAAGTATTTAAATATAATTTATATATGATTCGATGTATTTATATGAAGAAGTCAACTGTATTTTTTTCTACTATAGATAAACGACGTAAGTAAAATGACTGTTATTTTGTTCGAAAGAGTTCTATTTTATTAATTTAACAAGTAACAAGTAACAAAACTAGTTAATGATTATTTTTTCAGTTTTCTGATTTCACTTGTAAAATATGACATCTTTTTTCGTTACATTTTTTTGTTAATTTGAAATAAAATGATTAAAGTTCGTTGAAGGTGATTCAAAGTGTTGATGTAGGTGTGATTGCAGGTGAATGTGGATGTGAGTGAGTGTGAGTGTTAGCGTTTTGTTTTGATTCTAACCACACCCACTTCTATGGTTGAAGTGCTCTGATTTTTGTTATAAGTCGCAATGTCTTTAGAATAATTTACTACATTAAGTATTCTAGTATTAAATAGTTCTGATATCTTGACATTATCATTCTAAGCAAATATGTCAAGTCTGTCAAAGGTGATTTTCATATTCAAGTTGTTTATAAATACGTTGATATCTATACATTTTTTTTTGTTTTCCTCTTCAGTATCCATCGCAAATGAAACATCAGTGGTTCTTTTATTTCTGTAATTATCTATTGCTTCTGAATAAATCGCATAATCAATCATATACCTTTTACTTATATTAGAAATTGATTGTTTTCCGCAACCTTCCCATTTTTCCTCCATGTAGGGTATAAGAAATTTTTTACAAATGATTACATTTTCTCTTCGTATAGTCAACTAAGAGCTCATGTCACTGATAGATCAATATTTTTAAACGAATTTGCAATGGAAATTTGGAAATGTTTCATCATGAGCAAAAAGAGTATGGTAAAATTATATTAATATTTATTATATTTCTCCTAATCCACTTCTTTACTAATGATGTGTCGATATAGGTTTAGTGCAGTAAATTTTCGATAACAACTTAAACAATTATTTTTGTATATATAATCTCTATGTTTCCCTAGTAACTGGTGAGTTTCTAAGTACTGCCTGTAGAAAAAAAAACAAAATAAAACAATTTTTATTCTCATTTAGATTTCAGTGAACAACTAAACCAACCGTAAGTATAAATCGAAGAAATAATGGTTAATTTCATATATAGCACTTTTAATTTCTTCATCATCATCGTCATCAATCAAAGAAAAAGACAAACTAGATATAACTATTATCTATGTAAAGATTTTATTGCACTTTTTCGAAGTAAACATTGAAATCTATAAGGTAGAGCTAATAATGAGAAAGCAGATATGCGACTTGGATCGAAAATACTTTCGCCATTCTTTAAAAAAATATATAATTTTTATGAATAATTAACAGATTTATAGTGCTGCAAGACCATGAAGATATAAACCATATATAGTCCATATCTTTATTGCTCAGAATTATGAATTATAAGATTATTAGATATGCTAAAAGAAAGTCTGCAAGGCATAAAGTGGTCATATCTTCGCTTACATCGTGCATTTCTGCAGAATGATAATTTGTTATGCAATATTTTATATCATATCAAAGGTGCTACATTAGTTTAGAGAGATAACAACTACTGTTTTACCTCAGGCATTATGTTCAGCACTATATAGTATATTCAAAATAGCTTGAATTAGAGTTTATGTAAGAGTACTTGTTGTAGTATAAATGTTAAATAAATATTTGAAATGAAAATAATCTTTTATTCTATTGTCAAAAAAGAATGAATAAAAGAACTCTTCTATTGTGAAAATACGACAAACAGAGTCACTCAAGCAATCAACCAAAGCATATAATTAAAACAGATCGGTTATTCATTCAAGTAGAATCGAAACTAGTTTTTCAGTGTATCATGAAAAGACATTCAAGGTAACAAATAATTATCTATTGGTTTATACTTCTATTGTAAATACTAGCAAAAGTCTAAATCGAACTGCAATCATTTAACATTTACTACAGTTTAGACATAGTATATATCTACACAAAATGAACTAACTCAATTATCTCATTTTTTTGCGACGATATTTCATATATATTTTGATAAATTATTTTCATTTTCGATAATGTATAAACTTTAAAGACAGACAAAGTATTTTAATGCAAAAAAATGGCATTTTTCTTTTCTGGAATGTATATTCACATGAACAGTAAACAAAAGACACTCGGAAGTCTAATTATTAACATCGGTCATATCAGTATAGTTTTTTCTCTCATAATAATTAAAAAAACGTGCGTAATCATAGTACTGAAAAAGTCAAGTACTATTATTAATTGGCATATGCATTAATCGGAAACAGAATATGTAAACGAGTCATCATTCAAATATATCCTTTGACTAAAAGCAATGTACACATAAGGTTATAATGAATATTATATAAACGAAAAATCGTGGATAATATCGAAACAAAATACGATGTAACATTCAATCTTTTGAATTTTTCGTGAATAGTAAAAGAAACTTTTATCGCCATCTATAATTCAATTTCTATATATGAATATTTCAATAAGATTATTTATCACAAGAATTGTTTCGTTGGATTGAATTTTATTAAATAAATAAAATTTGTTTCTTTTTTTCGAAAATTTAAAGCGCCATCTAGACTATCATATTTTCCTCCATTGGTTGAATAGTCCAATTAAATTATTTCTGGATTGCTGCCATTTTGTTTATTTGTTTTCTCTTTGTTCTTACTATTATCGATTGTCAGTCCGTCATTTAATCGTTTTTCTTGTACTGCTGAATATCTTAACGAATTTTTCTTTCTTTTTGTTTTTGATTATTGCTTCGAATGTTGAATGTCTAGTTCAGGGGGCAGTAACCCAAAAAAGCCACGTATTGACTCAACTAGTCTACTTTCTGGTTTGTAATTGACACTTTTTTTGAACTTTGATAAAATCGAAAAAAAAAAATCTTTTTTTCTTCCCTTTTCTAGCTATACCTTCACGAATGCCTCTATCAAATGGTCCTGGCGCATCCGGTGCTCGTCCACTTGTTGCACTACTCGATGGACGTGATTGTACAATTGAAATGCCTATATTAAAAGATATGGCAACGGTAGCTTTTTGTGATGCTCAATCAACATCAGAAATTCATGAAAAAGTTTTAAATGAAGCAACAGCTGCATTAGTTTGGCATGCAATAACATTAAAAAAAGAAGATTTAGCCAAATTTAAAGCATTGAAATTAATTGTACGTATTGGTTCAGCATATGATAATATTGATATCAAAGCAGCTGGTGATCAAGGTATTGCTGTATCAAATATTCCATCACAATATGTAGAAGAAATGGCTGATACAACGTTGAGTATGATATTAAATTTATATCGTCGTACAGCATGGTTAGCACAAACAGTTAAAGAAGGTAAACGTGTCTCAACACCCGAACAAATACGTGAAGTTGCAGCTGGTTGTGCAAGAATTCGTAATGAAACATTAGGAATTGTTG